TATTTTGAATCATAATTGGTTGTTCATATTGTGATCAGACATTTGTCAGAGCATTAGAAAGTATAGAAAGCATTTGTCAGACGGTGTCAGAGCATCAGACATTTGCTGGTTTATGTGGAGATGTATAAAAAACAAATTTGAACCAGTAGTGGCATCTCTTAATGACGTCACTCCATTCAGGGCGAATTGAGGGAAATATGTGCAGCACCACAGTTCTAGATACTGCTTGGTGTTGAAGTTCATGGAGAATATTAGGAGAAAAGACCAAGGATAGCAAATGGTTTCTTCTGATCAGAATTTGGAACAAAATCGTAAGGAGCGATTTCCGGAATAGATATGTTAAAAGCTTATTTTCTGGGAGTTTTTTTATCAAATTAAGCTCTATGAAGACATATGTGAAACTAAGTTGGCATGTATAATCATTTTGTTCTCTTAGCAGAAAGGATCTGACATGCAGCGAGGCTTGAACAACTCTTATTTCTGGGATTCGTTTTCGAGAGGGGAAGGTAGGGTGTTGAGAATAGATTGGGCATTCACACAATTTAGAGATGTGTCTGGCAACTATTTGTATCAGGATTGAAACTTGGATTGGAATTGGGATTGGGATTAACCTATTCAACTGTTTTTTGGGATGCGCTGTTTGGGGGTGGTTCTGATCCCTTCATGAATAATAGAAAAAATAGCTAGTGATTTACGGGCTGACTAGGCCTGAAATGAGCAGTCAGCATCCATTCTTCTACATCCAGTCAGAAAAAAATATCAATTGGTTTATTTGATAGGTCTTTACAGTCAGCATTGTGAAATCGTATGCCTTGCCTTCATACACTATACTTATTTGACTTAGAATTGATGCTTAACCCATTTTTTATGTATCATCTCAATATTTTTCTTTTTTCTTTAAATGATCATGTTGGAAAAAAAATCATATTTTTTCTGCCGCCAACTGTTATTCTTTCATTTTTCATTTCACGTTGGAATTTTCATTCTACAATATTTCTGTGGACCTTAACCTTGTCCTACGCTTAGAGAATGTGTTGAGAAGCTGCAACTTCTGAACTCCCCCGAGGAGCGTTCTCGTCGCCTCAATGAAGTTCCGGCGGTTCATGTTGACCCCAAAATGGATCCGAACTACGAGTCTGATGAAGAAGAATTCGGCTATAAAAGGCCAGGTGCGTTGACTCGGGATTTCCTTCCTTCTTCACGCTATGCTCCTTTCTGTTCTCCCAACTCTCACATGCATAATATTTGCAGAGAGTTTCTTGAGATCGAGGGATTCCTTGTTCGCCAGCAAGAGAAGGGAGTCGAATCATTCAGCAAAGGGAAATCTCACTTCCAGTGACAGCTTCAGTGAACCACACAGAGCTTCAAGTCTTGCTTGGGAACCCAACAAAGCTGCCACTGGGTACGCTGAAATTAATGGAGCCACATCAAATCATCGCAAAGAGAAGGGCCCTGCGAGCTGGGATACATCAAAATCCCTCCCGAGTGCAGCAGCCACAGACCACGGTTTTGCTAGCGCTGGGCAGTCAGTGAGGAGGCCCGGGGCAGCAGCTTCTGAAACCTCACCCACGTCCCATGGAGGCGGGGCTCTAACACCATTGCCTGTCAATGACAATGAGAAGATATGGCATTACAAAGACCCATCTGGGAAGATCCAGGGGCCCTTTTCAATGACCCAGCTGCGGAAGTGGAATACAACTGGGTATTTCCCGGCAAACCTGAGAATATGGAGGGCGTCAGAGAAGGAGGAGGATTCAATATTGCTGGCTGATGCTCTGCTTGGGAAGTTCCACAGGGACCCTTCATATCCCGGGGTAACTCAGCTTCCCAAGGTGTCGCTAGCCACGGATGTGGGAAGAAATGAGGTCGGTAGTGCCTTGGCCAGTCAATCTCAGGCTCCTTTTTTGGGAAATTCTTATCAGTTGCCTGTTCAAGGGAGAGGAGAAGGAGGTGATCCCAGCAGGTGGCATGGAAGTCCCAATCAGGGCAACAACACCTGGGCATTCAACAGGGCCACCATGGTGCAACCTCACAGCCTTGGCTACGAGAGGCAGAACTCCAGTGGCCGGGAGACTAACAGAAGCCTGTGGGCAAATGATTCACCGAGACTAGCCTCCGTGGGTCTTAGTGAGATTGGTGGAGCCGCTCTGGCAATACCTGAGCAAGCTCAGGTGGCCCCGTCGGCAGGCGTTGCCGCTGGTCGGGACTCCCAGAGATTTGCAGGTGTGGCCAATGAATTGGCGCCCAGGGTTCCTCTCAAGGTGGAGATGATGAACGCTGCTGTGGGAAGAACATCTAGTGATTGCCTGACCCCAACACCGAAAGGCGAGCAGGCCAAGTTTGATGCTTTGAATCCTGAGCCCATGCAGCAGAGCCACCTTGATGGTGATTCGAAGAGGAGGAGTTTCGAACTGCATCAAAGATATAACATCTCAGTAGCCCCGAACGAGGTCCTTCCCGAACCTGGAATCCAGAGTCGTCATCAGAATCCCGGGCAAAGCCACACCTCCACATCAGAGCAGAGGAGTGAGTGGTCGATGCCATCTCCCACGCCCGCAGTGGAGCCCTCCAGATTCGACGCAGGTCTTCGATCCGACCCTTATCTCACTCACCTCGTCGCCTTCTGTCTCTGCTGAACGCTGATGTTTTTATGTTGGTAATGTGGTCTACAGTGGCAGGTCAGAGCGCGGGGAGCAAGAAAATGGAGCACGGCGTGCCTCAAGAGACCATGGGCGCAGCAGGGGGGAGTGGAATCGTGGGCGGGGCGGCGGTGCCGGTGGCGGGCGCCCAGGGACCTGGCGGAGCTGCCTGGGGAGCACTAATGCAGGGAAACACAGGCGGGGTTTGGGTGGCTCCATCTCAGGCGAATCCTGCAACGAGCATCGGCTGGGGTCCTCCAGCGCTGGCGCAGGCCAATCCCAATGCTAACCTGTTGTGGGTGGCGCAGGCTCAGGCTTATCCTGGATGGGGCGCTCCAGTGCAAGGAGTAGCTCCAAATCCAAACCTGAATTCTGCCGGCTGGCTGCCCGCTGCACCGCCAAATGTGCAGCCGATCCCCAACTGGGGAGGGGTAGCCGCACAGCAAGGTGCTTCGAACCCTACCCAGCAGACCTGGGTGCTGCCACAGACCGACGGCGGCACTGCTGGTGGCGGCAGTCAGAGTCTCCAGAGCAACCAGCCAGGGCCGGACAGTGGGCAGCAGGGATGGGCCCGGGCGGCGCCGCCCGGTGGAGGGGGGGATCCGTCCTGGGGGGCGCCGAGAGGGCAGGACGCGGGCATCTGCAAGTTCTATGAACGCGGCCACTGCAAGAAGGGGGATGCCTGCAACTACATGCACTTCCGATGAACAGAGATGAAGAATGGAGAGGACATGACAGCGGATTTTCCGACGCCTGTAAAACCCTTTGTACAGCTATTTTTCTTCGTGGTAGGCATGCCTGTAGTGTCACAGGAGCAACAGGGAGACCATTGCTGATTCGAATGAGGAAGAACTAACATAAGTATTTTGTTGTCTTATCATCCCTCCTAAGATCTCCAGTTGCAGCCAACATCAAGGTTCCTGGCAGCCTGGCCTCACTCTGATCCTCGTGATGAGGAGGGAATTGCCTCATTATCTTGCCGTGATCATTGATTGATGCTCTCTTTCTGCGGACAATGGAAGGCCTAATTCCTGCAAGTTTGGCCTAGAACACTCACCAGCTCTTCATGGTCTTCTGAATGGCAACGAGAAAACCTTTCAGCTGCATACATTCCTCTTTTCTAAAGATAGAATTTAGGAGTCAACTGAGGACGAGCATTTCATAAAACCCTTTGTTTTGATCCGTTGACTGGCAAATCTCTCAGGATTGTCAACTCATATGACGCATATCATGGCTGAGGTTAGATGTAGATTAGATCCAACTGTAGATTAGATCGTTTGGGGGGAGCTTAGGTGGACTTTACAGTCTGGTCAACGGAGTACTAGAGTACTTTTTTTGGCTATCCTCATGCTCCAAATAGTGGTGAATGCCATAATCTAGGATTAAGATGGACTTCTCTTTCTAGAAATGTCAACTTGTTATATGCTTAAAATGGTAGTCCACCAATCAATATCCTCAATAAAAGGATATATTTGGATCCATCCAATCATCTTCTACTGTTGATATTATTTTCTATTTTTTCTCATTATGTATTGGTTCCTCAATATGTTATCAAATGTCAACAGTCCAACACAGGGAATTTTGGCATAAATACAAATTTTGGTTGAATAAAAAGCAGAAGATGCCATTCCCAAGTCAATCTCCTACCTCTAAAAAAGTCAATTCTCATATCTAAGTCACGTGATGCTTTTATTATGGTTGATTATATTGACCAATGAAATTGGCTTTTAAGTGGAATTGACTATGAAATTGTCTTGCATTGACAATATTATTTATTAACTTATTATATAAAATATAGAGGCATTGATTACTACCCCGATAAATATGCATCAAGTGTGGGTTTTATGGCCTTATTCACAATGAGTTATTGGGTCAAAGGGCTGCTACATTATTTTTAAAGTATTTCCTAATTTTGCAATAGTCTATATGTTTCCTTAAGTGGAAGTGGGGTTAATTTAGTATTTTCCTTGTACTTTTGGTTCACCGGTAGAAACGGTCAAAGGGAATGGTGATTCTAAGAGAGGATTAGGGAGGGCTCTTCTTTATTAAATATATGATTTTTAAGGGACTAGAACAAAAGAATTCCTCCGTCGGGCATGGACACGTTTCCGTTGTGTTTGATGCTGATGACCAGTCGGGAAGACGAAGTCCTCCGCCGGTCGAGGTGGCGGCAGCAGGGGCGACGCGGAGTGGGAGAAGAAGCGAAGGGGACGTAGGAGCACGATGCAGCCCCGAGTAGCGGAGCCGGAGGCCTTCAGGTCGAGTGGGGTCTCTCTCATCACGGTGCCTGCTCCTGGTGGGAATTTGAAAGGGTGACGGCGGTTGCAGAACAGGGGAGCTTGCGGAGAGGAATCAGCGGCCATGGCGCCGTCGGTGTTGAGCCCGACGCAGAGGTATGCGGCGGGGGCACTCCTTGCCTTCTCCTTACGGCAGGCGCAGATCCACCAGACCTGCCCACTGGGCTTCGAGGACGTCGGGGACGGCGACGATGAGGTCCCCGACAGGCATAGCAGCAGCAGCAATGGTAGCAGCGGCGGGAGCAGCGAAGGTGATGATGGGTTATGGACTCATGAAAGCCGAGGACTTCTCCGTCCCGTCTTCAGGTCTGCGCTCTTGTCGTTGGTTTCTGAATAAGTGGAGAGCCGATGCAGAAAAACAACCGGAAATCGTGGGAGGTTTCTTGCATCTGGCTGTCCGCTATGGGTTTTGATGGATCGTTTTCCTCCAGGTTTTTGGAGATTGACCCGATGGCTTGGCCTGGTTTGGAGGAGACCGCAGCTTCTTCTCCGGCCAAGAATCACATCGGAGCCGTGCGTCTTTTTCTTTGTTGTTCTCCTTAAATTCCTTTGCGACTATACGCGTTTCTCCTCTTTACTTAGTCTGGACGATTCTATTATATTCGACTTCTAGTGAAGGGATTCGTATCATACAAAATTTCACAATAAATTGACGGAAATACTAGCGAAAATTGGTCTATTATTTGGGAAAATAACTTTAAGCCATCATTATTGTTCGACTTAATGGGGAATTCAATCCATTTTCTGACTGTCATTTTCTGGAATGCTAGTTTCGTATATTCAAAATATTCGCATCTAACCTGTGATTCCATATGCAATTCCACCTTAAGATTTCTGTCAAATGTATCATAAATTTCCGTCATAATGTCCAGAAATGCTATGTTTGAGTTGAAAAACATAAAAAGCCAATTCTGTGTTTTCTGTCATTTACTGAATATTGCTATGCTGGGTCAGCTTGGAGATTTACACAAACAGTCAAGGATTAAATCTCGGGTTGTTACTTCGACTAGAGTACCAAATGCTTATATCAGTCGTAACTATTTAGAAGATGGGTTTGTATGTGTTCATGAATGAGTCAATATGATCTTAAACAGCTGTAGCCTTCTTAAAATTTCTTCTAGTCAGATTTTCATTAGTCACAATATCAATAGACGACATTTATTTGTTCCACATCTAATCATGGTTTTTCTCTGATTTTTTTTGCTTTGTATGAGTGGTAATAAATCAGCATTAGTGATTTTTACACCCTTTGTTGTCTCCAATGACCAGCACTTACATTTTTATACTATGATTCTTTTATGTCATCTAGTTCCTGAGGATACTCTTTGAAGAAAGTGATGAAACTTCTGCTGAAAGATTGGAGCAGGCGCTTGCTTTGATAAAATCTGTGGATGCTATGGAAATGAGCTTGAAAGAGACCTTATCTTCTGTTGATGGAATTAGTGAGGAATATTTTAAATATAGGCAAGAATATCACAAGGAAGTTTCACCAAACATGACGAACCTTAGAGAAGATGAGGCGTGCAAACTGTCAGAAGCAATTCAGCAACTGAATTGTCAGAAGTTGCCAGTAAAAGATGAATGTCTTTCTCAAGCAGATGGAAGATGTCAAGAGAACCCATTTTTGCAAGATACAGTGAAGAATAATCAGCAGAAAGTTGCAGTATTATATGAGCTTCTTTCTGCATGTGTAGCTGATTTGCCGGAGGATCACAATCAACAGTTGAGACACAGGAAAGGTTATGATGCTCGACTCCGTGTTGCCCTAAGGTCGCTAGCCACATGGCTCAATATCAAATGGAAAAAAATGGTTTGCCTCTACTTTAACTGTTTTTTTTGTGTACGCTTGGGCGTTTTATTGGAGATGATTGTATCCACTAAATTATCCTTTGATCGTTTTACCTGTACCATTTGTCACATTGTTCTATCTATTAATATCCTACTCTTCTTAAAGATCACAGGAAGGATAAGTTGTTTTTTTTTCTTTTTTGTTTAGTTCGAATATTGTGAGGTATAGCTGCAAGTACGGTAGAATTACTTTCTTTCTAGTGTGTGTTTCATTTCCATGTATCATATTCGGCAGAAAACTTGCATTGAAAAAAGGACGCCATGCTGCATGTCTACTTCTATTGTATAAATTTCCTGCTTGAATATTTGATGGTCATCATCGGCCAACACTTTGAGAATTCTTCCCCACTTCATTTTCGCTGGACCATTCGTGCTTCTTTCTCTTCGCAAGAACTATTGCAATGAGCACAGTCATGGATATTCGACGAGATACATTAAGAGCACAGAAAGATATCCATATAAAGATTGTGGAACTTAGTTTCGTACATAGGTTAGTCAGTGAAGACAACAAGCATGATATGATGTGATAGAAGTGATAGTAAAAACGTGGAATAGAATTAACGAAAACATAGAGATGATAATTGTTTCAATAGGATAAAGTAATTGATAGTTCTAATAATTCTATAGAAAAAATGAACAGTCTCATGACAGAGTGCTCATACGTTTTGCGATCCTAATCTTTTACCAGTGCCATCTAATCCATAATTTATTGTTTAAAATTCTGGCATTGAATGAGAGTATTTCTCTCAATATGATATTAAGATCTGGAAATAGAATAAAATCAAGTTATATTACACGAACATGGTTGAACTCGAACTCTCTCATAATTAATTCTTGTTCCACTTGAAGATTGACAACCTGAACTGTTAAATTTAATTGTTTTGTTGTTGCCAAGTAAATCACGTAAGTTTGCCAGATCTCGTGGCTGATTATTCACTTCTTAGATAGTTCTGTTGAATTATTATCAAAAGAAAAATATCTGAACTATCGTGGGATCCTGTGACCTTTGATATTCGTTTTGTTTATGTGCTACACTCAGTACATCCAGGCTTATCAAGCTGAAAATGATGCTTTTTAGGAAGCCATGGAGATCATGGTTGCGTGTTCTGCAATGGCTGCTGCAAAGGAAGAAGCTCAAGCAGAGAATAGGGACTCTGATAAAAGCAGATGGTCTAGATGGAAACGTCATGGCATAATTGGAGCAGCTGCAGTTACTGGTGGAACCCTGTTGGCTATCACGGGAGGTATTGCATTTCATTTTTATGTAAAAGGAAACAGGAAACTTTGGTTTCATGTTCTCTGTTCTAGTATGCCCACCTGTGTATTTATGTCTTTTCTTGATTGCTTGACAGGCCTAGCTGCTCCTGCAATTGCTGCTGGGTTTGGTGCTCTGGCACCCACCTTAGGAACTCTTATGCCCGTGATTGGAGCAAGTGGTTTTGCTGCAATTGCCAGTGCTGCTGGGTCAGTTGCTGGTTCCGTGGCTGTTGCAGCCTCATTTGGAGGTGATTTTAGTGTACCTGCTTTCTGCCTATTGTTTTCTCTTAAATAAATGATGTGATATCCACATTCATGGTACTTTTGGTTGGAAAGGATATTTCTTTTTTCGACAGGGAGAAATAGCTAGCATCTTCATGGTTCATGGTGCCTTTTAAGGTGGTTCCCGTGTTATACTGTATGTAAATGCCACTGGAAACATTCTATTCAAGGACTTATTTAATTCCTCTCTTGCTCTTTCCTCCATCTGAAAATAGACACTGCCTCATGGAATATTCATGTTATCAAGAAAAGTGTGAAAACTTACTGATGTTCCTCTGATGGAAAAACCCAAGGGCTGAGTGTGTCTTCCTTTTTGACGCTTTTCACAAGTATACAGTGCAAGTCAAATGGCTGGACTCAGTCTTCTGATTGGAGACCTGGGTTTAATATCAATAAAGTCAACTCAATTTCTGCACTATGAGAACTCGTCGCTTGGTGCGTGCCTAGAAAGGCGAGGTGGTAGTTTTACTCAGTGTAACTGTACATCAAGCACCGATATCGAAGAGTCATAATTTATTTTGACTGAAAAGTAAGCTACTCATTGTGTGAGATATAAACGAGGATTCCTGACAATTACATAGAGATGCACTAGAATTCCCTAAATTGGTAGTAGCCAATTCAAGGTTTTGGTGGTGGAAGTTGAGGAAGAGATAAGGAAGAAGAGGGGAAAGATGAGGATAGATTCATTTTTGTGATGTCAGGTTTATACTTTTCGCATTTCCTGCTTCATAGAGATGCATTTTTAGCCCGTTCTTTATTTGACCTTGGAGCGAATTCCCATTCTTGGCTGAAAAAATGGATGGTTTAGAACGGAGATTTAAAGAGAACCCATATGGAATGGATGAGAAGAGCAGTTCTAGTGTAAAGGTAATGAACATGGTAAAGAACAGTTCTCTGTTTTCTGTTCTGTTTTTCGTTTTTTTTTTCTTTTCCGGGGGATGGTGTGGAGGTAGGTGTTAATATTTGCAACTTTGAAGCTTTTACCCTAAGCAAATCAAGTTTTAGTGTATAAATGCAAGTGACTAAAGTAGAATAGAAACATGATAACGAAATAAAAAATTCCACATTAAATATAAGGTAGGAATAGCACGAAAAAACGTGTAAAATAATAGGCAAACCTAAATGGTTTTGTGCCCTTGTACCCCTAAGATCAATTTTATTTGAGGCTTTACGTCTGTCTTATGTGTATATTCTTGTGTGCCTTAATATATCCTCATATATTCTATGTATAATATCTGTCGACAATCACACCATTTTGGCCAACACATGGCTCTATACTAGACAAAATAGACAGGAATGGGGGGGACTGGGCACAACAAAATTTTTGAAACCCGACCAAGTTCTTGCCTAAAAATTGAACAGTAAGATTGAAGGTGTCAATTTTGACCAATTTGAAGACCCCTGCTTCGCATCTTTTGGGAGGAATATGTTTGCAACGAATATGTCCCTCAGTTTCTCCCTCTGGGGGAAGTTAAGTGTCTTTCCACCCTGTATTGCCCTCAAAGTGAGTAGAGAGTGCTGTGTTTGTTGACAATTTATTAAGCAAATTGCGGCTGCTCAGGATTGGAAGCTAGCTCATGTGTAAGCGCTGTCTATCAACAGTCAACTCTTTATCCATTAATTGATCCAGCTGCTTCTTTTTAAAAGAATAAATTAGTTAGTTGGAAAACACTCATCCAGTAAAATGTGTGGCCTCTTCTGGACCTTCCACTGTTTTTATGCCTGATTAATGAGGATGAAACCATAGCATTATGCTGTCTCACTTTCACACTCTCTTGTCTAACTATTGACACAGTTGCTCTCTCTCTCTCTCCCTCACACACTGTATTCAATCAGCTGTTCTGATTAATTTTTCTCTGATTTGTGGGAAGGAAGAGAGAGGGGACTGAGGAGAAAAAACATATTGGATTTATAAGGGATGTCATTCGAGGCATTGATGTCTATGAGTACTGTCCGGAAGATAAAATTTCCCCCAGGGGACCAAGTTAGAAGCAGAAATCACCTTTGACCAATCATCATTGTACTTGCAATTTCCACATATTTAGATCCCTTCTTCCCTTGCTTTTTTTTCCTCTTCGGCGGATTAAATTTCTTTCACTCATGTGAAATTATCCTCTATGCTCTTCCTACATTTGTTTTACCAAAATTCTTAAATATGATGTGATGTTAAGACTTCTGGACTCCATGTAGATGCAATGGACGTCAGGATGACATTATTCACCATTGAATCTGGAGAAAATGGACTTTACTCCTGAGTTTTGTATCCAAATACTTGTAACCAGAATCAGATTATCTTTTACTCACTTATGTATCTAAGGTTGGAAAAACATATGATGTGTTTACAGCCCTCTTTTTCGCTCATATTCCATTTCTCCATTCTCTTGCTATTGCCAATTTCGTAGACTTATGCCTTTCGCAATGTTTTCCTTCTCTCACTCGTTAAAATCATATCTGACATGTTTGGTGGCCATAATTTGGCAGCTGCTGGAGCTGGACTCTCGGGAAGCAAAATGGCTAGAAGAACTGGCAGTATTGAGGAGTTCGAATTTATACCTATTGGACAAAATCATAATCAAGGAGTGAGTTCTCTTTTTATATAATTTTGGTGAAGGGGAACCTTTCGTAGCTGATAATTCATATGATAGATATGCTGTAATGCTTTTGTTTTTGCCCTTCGTGAAATACCAGTATGTGAGTGACCCTAACTTTTCTATTTTCCATTTTTCAGTGCCTTGCTGTTGGTATCTTGATTTCTGGATTTGTTTTTGAGAAAGAAGATTTTGTTAGGCCTTGGGAGGGGACAGCTGACAATTTAGAGACGTATGTGAACATTTACTGAGTTAAAGAATTCTTTACTCATCGACGTATATAAATGTATAGATAAATAACAGTTTTTATTATGCACCTTATGCTGCAATCAATCATCTATTCTGTTTTTTCACAAATTGGATGAATTTTCTTACCAAATTTAAGTTTAAGTAATTGATGCATGTATCATTTTTTGAACGATTTACAAAACTGGCTTCTTCTTAAAAAAAAATCCGCTAAATTTTTTCTATTATAATGTGCTTTATGCTTGTAGTTCACTCTATCTCGTATTTGGAATAAAAAAGACCCAATAACTTGTCATCACCTAGTTTGCAATTAGAAAATCTTGTTTTTTGGTTCAACTGTCATGCTTTGTTCATTCAGATTTAGGCGTTGAACTATTATTGGCTTAATGGTACATTAGAAAACTCATACACTCCTCTAGAACAAAACACGTACATCTATTTGTGGTGTCTCCTGCACTATGGTACACCATTTTATTCCGGGAATTTAGGATCCTACCTAAAAAAATTGTCTGTTCCATACGCACATACCCTTTATGCAGGTTATACAGACTCTTGATATTATGTTGATCGTATTGTACATTCAAGCAATTTGTAGACTTGAGGATCAGCCTAAGTGTTCTCCATTACCACAAAACCGAAAAAGTAGTCCAACCTATGGTCTAGTCTCTGATAAACCATGATACAGGGTGTGGCAGTCTATACTCCTTTAAGAAGGGTTGACTTCTGGGATTTATTTTTTTTGGGTCTGTCCCTTTGCTTATAGTGGGAAATCTGACAGCAAGTGTGTGAAACAGTTCTTCCGTGTTCATATAAATTTTTGGAATCTGTACCTTTCTACAGCAAGGGCAAAACGAAGGGCACAAGCCTGGTCTGACTACCTGATAATTATTCTAGGTATGCTGTACAGTGGGAGTCCAAGAACTTGATTGCTGTGAGTACTGCAATCCAGGACTGGCTGACATCGAGTAAGAGCTATGAGTCTTTTCACAGTTGATTAGTGTGCAAGGTGCTGTATCTTCACCCTTCTCTTCGTTCTCCCAGGTCTTACCATGGGTTTGATGAAGCAAGGTGCTATGATGACTGTGCTCAGCACACTAGTTTCTGCATTAGCCTGGCCAGCCACACTACTTTCAGCAACTAATTTTATTGACAGCAAATGGGCGATCTCTGTCGACAGGTTCAAACTTGCTCACCAATTAATCATCACTTCAAGACTTTATGCCATTATTAATCTCAGTTGACATCCCCAGATCAGATAAAGCAGGAAAACTGATGGCTGACGTACTATTAAAGGGATTGCAAGGAAACAGGTTTGTGATGGCGACCTTTCTCCCTCTGCAAGTCCCTCCAAATCTGCCCTGGATGGCTTACTTCATATTCTGTGATATCTCAGGCCTGTGACACTTGTCGGCTTTTCATTGGGAGCACGGGTGATATTCAAGTGCTTGCAGCATTTGGCAGAAACCGGAGATAATGGTTTTTACATGCCCTTCATGACATTAATGCTCTATATCAGGCCCATTTATTCGGTAGTCCCCTGACATCTTCTGGCTTGTTTGACCAGAGGGACTTATAGAGAGGGTTGTTCTCCTTGGAGCGCCAATATCTCTCAAGAGTGAGCCATGGGAGTCTGCAAGAAGAGTATGCTTCCGACGATGCTAAGAAATTGACATGATTTAGTCTCAAACATCATATTTATTCTTGTCATTTTTCTTTTTCTGGGTGAAATCTTAATGTCTCCTAAAATGCTGATAGGCTGATGATGATGATCTTAGCTTCTGATAATTCATAGGCCCTGGATTTCACCTTCTATACGTACTCTTCTTCTTATGGTGTCTGATCCAGTTTTTATTGCTCTCTTGAAGATGGTGGCCGGCAGATTTGTGAACGTCTACTCTACAAACGACTGGATACTTGGAGTGACTTTCCGTGCTAGGTATGATTATTCTCTAGAAGCTCGGATTCTCCCAACGTTGTATGCCTCTGGGACTGATTCCCCCTCACAAGATCAGCTTGATATGCATGAGCTTGCTTGATCCCAGATGGTTTTTATTTTTATTGATTTATTTTTATTTATTTTAAACAGCTTTCCCGCCCCCATTTAGGTCCAGGTTTGAGATATTAATTGATATTATCCCACCAAGGTTTTTTTATCAGAATTAACCAAAACATCCATGTGCATATTCGCTTTGGAAGACAGAAAAAATACAATCATAATATTAAACATTCTTTATGACAGGTTATGTTCTTTAAGAAAAAAATTCCTCTCCCTGCAATTCCAGTAACGGGTTGTTACTTTCTGCTGCAGCCTTCTTACCCAAGGATTAGCTGGAATTCAACCCGTTGACATCGCCGGAGTGGAAAATGTGAGTAGCGTTGACTGGAGATTCACATTCTAGAAGTGGAATGCTTTCCAAGTATTGGAATGACCCCACCCTTCATTTAATATTTCTTCCAGGTTGATGTGACTGATCTGATTGATGGGCATTCTTCTTATCTGTGGACTGTCCGGCAAATACTGGAGCAACTTGAGCTGGACACATACTACCCTGTCTTCTCTTGTTGTTCAACATCCTAGCAGACGATGCCCTGAAGGTTGACCACCCCGCTTGGTCAACCCAGGGTCAGATGATCATCTGACAGGCCCTTCATTAGATCTGAAAACCCAGATATATATTTCCATAATTTGGCCCATTTTTTTTCTATTTTTGTGTTTGTTGATGATGCATAATTTCTAATTGGGTTTCTCAGGATCAGATAGATAATCATCTTTTTTGGTGCTTCATCAGATCTTAAAACCCAGTTAGTCGTTGACCACTGATTTCCGATGAGGTTGATGATGCAGGATTTTGGTTCATATAGTTCACATTTTATCATCGGATGGAAGATGACTTTCTACTGTGTTTTTTTTTTTCAAATAATAAGAAAACATGGTCATTCAATTTCTCGTGACCAAGAAGCCTGTGATTCATTCGCTTGTGTATCTCCTTCTTAAAAACACCTTTAAATAAATATGATTTTTTTCTTTTTAATGTTAAAGATAGAAAATTAAATTTCCAGTTTTTAAATAAAAGCGTCAGATTTCACATAAATATAATTAAAATTTGTAAAAAAGGAGTGTTAATGAGTCATGCCAGATAATCTCATTTCAGTCTCAATCTTTACCGTTTAAATAAGTATTAAGTTTTTTTCTTTTACCTATAAAGATAGAAAATTAAATTTACAGTTTTTAAATAAAAACGTTAAATTTCAGAGAAATATAATTAAGAATTGTAGAAAAGGAGTGTTAGTGAGTCATACAAGATAGTCTCCTAGTGGTCTCAATCTTCACGGTTAAAATAAATATGAATTTTTTTTCTTTTACCAGTAAAGATAAAAAATTAAATTTACAGTTTTAAAATAAAAACGTTTAATTTCTGATTAAAATAATTAAAATTTGTAAAATTGGAGTGTTAATGAGTCGTGGCGGATTATTTGCTTCAAGCTTTACGTTTTAGGGTTTGGGGGAAGTGGGGATCAAGGGAAGCGGTCAGATGACCACTGGAGAACGATTTTTTTACTTCTATTTAATTCTTGTATTGTTAAAAAAAAGGAAAATCGAGGCGAGTGGATCCGAGACGTTATAAGGACTCCGTAGATCCGAAATCGGAGGGGGGGGGACGACTTCAACTCGGTGGGTCTGGCCGAGTCCAACGCGTCCGGCGTGCTGCTCAACTCGCCACCTCCTCGGACATTATAATGTGAGGAGCCGGAACAGAGAGAGACGCTCGGAAGGTCCTCCTCCCCTTTGGTGGCTCGGAGACGATGGGGACGGAAGAGGCGGCGCCGGCGGCGTCGTCGGATGCGGTGAGGGATTCGGAAGTGTTTGGCGGACGGGAGGAGCCGCCAGTGCCTGTGAAGGGGGAGGCAGATTCCGCGACGGTGGGTGCGAGGAAGGGGAAGTCGTGCAAGGGTTACCTCTACTATTCGTCCCAACTCAAGACGCAGTCGAGAAAGCCCGTCTGCGTCGGCCTCACCAGGACGCTGCAGCAAGGTTTCCCCCCCGCTTTCTCGTTTTACTCATTGGTCGGTCCCTCTTAGTTTGATCATCTTCCTGTCTTCTCTGTGAATTCGCGTCCGGTCTTCTTTTCAAGGTAGCTTGTTGTTCTCGTCAGAATTTCTGTTGCTCGGAATGCATAAGATTTATATAGAGTTTGATTTTCTTGAATGACTCTTGTAGATTTGCTGCGTGCCATTGCCTTTCGATTTTATTCACATCAAAAACCTGCGGTTGGTCGATTATTAGCGATTAAAACAACAGTGCACATGGTTGGATCCCAATTTTTCACTCAGGTCGTGAAATAAAGTATCGCTTTCGGGATCTTATGGTGAATGGGTCACCTTCGACTGAAGAGACGAGAACATATTAATCTCATCGGGTGTACGCGTCTACATTTTTTGTAGTTATATTTTAGCTGCCGTAATGTTTTCAGATGCCCTGTCAATACCAGTCTCTGGGCCAGTAAAGTTTTGGGAACCCGAGCCACTCATTAGCTACATAACTAGCATCCATCATTAATCCATTGGTCTCTCTGATATTCATTCCTATTCTTGTTTTGTTGACTGATGTACCCTCGGTCTCACGATTTATGTCCTTTCCAACGAACCTGTCGTTATAAATAAATTGATCACGCTTCTGTAGAAATCAATTGAAGAGGAACAGTTTTTTTATTCCGGTTCATGTATCAAAATAATGTTTATTATTAAAAAAATATTCTTTAGAGGCATGGAACATGAGGGGCCAGCTTCTAACATTTCATAGATACCTCCTCATCTTCCCCTTGCTTTATTGGTGTGTGTTTTAAAGGACAGAATATGCATCCATAAAGAACTATTCCTTGAAATGAATTCTTTCAAAGGCATAGTTATCATGAAAACACTTAATTTGTTCTCATTTTTGGCTTAGGTAGCCCATACCGGTTTTATTTGCCCTTTCAACTCGAGAAAATGACACAAGTCGATCCTTAATAATATATTATACCTCGTTTCTAGTAGACACCATGTTCTACCAGCGTTTTTGAAGTTGGGTATCTCCTTGTATTCATTGAAGAAAAAAATATTAGATGTAATATGAGTGCGTTTCATGATTCCTCAAAAACCCCCTTGTACGATACTAAGATGTTGTAGGTTTTACTGGAAGATGAAATACTCAAAATGGCCTATTCATATCTTGATTACAAAACTGGGGTAAGTTAGGCACCCCTTCAATTATAAAGTTTCATACGTTCCAGTCACATTTTCTCTCAACCCAAATGACCCAAGGAGTCACGTATTTCAACCATTTCTTTAAATCCTCCATCTAACCTTGATATTTCCATTGTATACGTGTGATTTCTGGCAACTCTCGTCAGAAGAGTATCTCAGGAAGATGTCTTTGGAAGATGTCTTAGGAATACAAGCGTAAATGACCACATGTAAGTGATCCCCTATGCGAACTCTGCCTCACCATGATCCTCACCTTTGACAGAATAGGGGTTTCCAGAATTGAACTGTTACTTCGTGTCTAAGCCCCCAAAGAGAGATAGCACATCATTAAAATGGATAAAATATTTTTACATAAAGTATTCTGGCCTCCATAAGAATGAACATTTTTTTCCGATTTCTCATTCTTTTTTCAAACCTCTTTTCAATCTTTGCAAGATTCTTTTGCTATTAAGCGTTTGTAGTAAGTGTCACCTCTAGGTAACAGACATAGGTCGCCACTTGTTCTGATGGGAAAGTTACCTTCATGATATCACAATATTTTCTTTGGTATCTATAGGGACTGTCCATTTAAATGTTGTATGGACATTCTTCTGCTTTGTAATGCGTATCTTGACATACTCTTTTGCATAAAATTTTATTTGCTTTTTTCCCTATAGAATACTCTATAAATACCATCTTTTTTCATATTTTTTTAGGATCTTTTTTTATTATAGTTCGTGAAGGTGGACTTCGTCGTATGTACTTTTCGCTCAGTGCAATTCAGTTTTCAGATGATTGCATCTGTAAATTATTTTCTGGCACTGGATGGCTCTCATGCAGAGAAACTAGTCATCATTTGGTTGTCCTTATATTTCCCGTTTTCCACAGTTCCTGGCTACATGGTGGGAGAGTCTGAGTTGGAAGCCTCTAAAGAGGGTCGTAATCTGTCAGACTTTAAGTATTCATGTGTTGGCTATTCAGTTTTCATGGAAAACAAGGATGATGCGTCTGAGAAAGGAGAGAAGCAGACAGAGTTGCCATTCTGTGTTGGCATTGAGGTCGATATCTTTACTGAACTTCTTTTGGCTCATGCACATTCTGGTAGCAATTGGCTTTACATTTCAGTAATAAATCATCACTTACATCGCTGTTCCTCGTGCATGAGAAATGGAATTCGATGCTGAAACATAATCAGATGGTTCACCTATGTAGTTCTGCAATTGGTTCATTGACTTTAATTTCTATATTGTAACCACTTGCATTGCTAGAAACCTCAAAGCTCTTGTAAGGTTTTATAGATGAGTCATATATGTGGGCTAAAAGCTACGACCTTGATGTGATAGTTTAGATGTCCTAGATGTGGCTTGGTAGAGGATAGAAAATGGGAGGAGGTCGTATATAATTTATTTTTTTAAAACTGTTTTTAGGTATAGAAGATAGTTAGGTATCCAATATTTTTTAGATTCAATTCATTTGATTGCACATCTTGGTAAGCGAAAAAATGCAAGTTAGGCTTGTATTAATGGCATTGAATCCTGCATTATGTTCCTTTTTTTTGTTGCACACAACCATATTTTTAAAAACTAATTGTTTTTATTAAGTGCTTATCATTTATGTTAATGCTTATGCTATTCGTAGGTATCTCTAGACTCTTGAATTTAACGAGTCTCTCCCGGTGGACATGTATCAGTGTCAGACCACAATGCTACATAACGCAGTTCTTTATCACTTTATCCTTGGTTGGATGTCATGTTTTTTTCAAATTTACTCTAAATAAATGGCGGCCGTCACTTTTAATTAGACTTGATGAGGAAGTCATGGACACATACCTCATGTGGTCAGTGATTCCGATATCAAGTCCTTATATCTAAATGCTCTAATGGTATGTGACGTGGACCATCATCTCGTATTTGGACGAGTATTTTTTTGGTAAAAGTATGGTCTTATGTGTCATCCACCATAGAAACTAAGGCATTTTATACTAATTTAGTTTTTCAATCGTTAGTACAAATCATTTCCTGTTGGATGTCATTGTCCTAATCTCCTTAAAAGAGGACTAAAAACTTAAAATGCTTTGTGCAGAACTTGTCGATTTTGAGGAAAGTAGACATCTGATGTAATTAACATGAAAAATAGATATTTTAAGCTGTGTTGAACGAATAGGTTATTGTTGATGAAATAGTCATAATTTTCACTCCAGTTCCTATTTATTCAGTATAACTCGTCTTATATCTGCATAGTGAAAGTTTTTTTATTTTTTTGGTCAGCTTTTGGTGGACAGGCGGGTTTCAGCTCCTAGCCATGCTGCTGCTCATGCCCCCCGCAATAGAGATGGTAAGAAGTGTACTATATTTCCTATTCGAATGCCAACATCATCTAGGCTTCAAATTAATGGTTGGAATTCTTTCTCGTGTTGTTTTATTTATGTGTTTTTTTGGTTTCAATAATCTTGTAAAATTTATTTTCTTTTTTCTATGATCCTTGAAAATGGACCCATAATTTTTTTTCCTCCATCTTTATTTTTATTCTGCACAGTCACCTTTTACTCCCACCCTGTGCTAATATCTCCTTTAGAGATATTATCACCTAAGCTGATAACATCTCTACAACCCACCCTGTGACTCACATGGTGGGATGTAATGGGAAAGAAAAGTCTCCCAGCTGCACAGTGCAACGCCAGAACATTGCCTGAGAACGTCAAGACATCATTAATAAGCAAGTACGATTGTCTAAATTTTTATTTACTAAGTATAGAAGCTAAATCTTCAGATGATGCTCATCGGTTTCACAGTTTAGGTCACCTAGGCCATCTAAGCAGTAACTAGCTAAACTAATGTAGTTAGTACAGTTATTTAGATGACGAAACTAACAGTCTTAAGGTAATGAGTGCGGTTAATGAGACTCCCAGGATGACCAAGCTAGCAGGCTATTGGGACTGATTTGTTTGCTTCCAGACATCTTGGCCTCCTTCATCACCTATGTTGCCAGCGCAGTGCTTTGAAAATTATGGCTGATCTAAGATCCCAGCCGGCTGGTTCGTGGACATCCCACCTAGTTGGGAACAGAAGGCAGGATCTTCAAACAGTAACCTGCTCAATCAGATCAAAGCCTTTCTAGCCCTGAACTTGAGTCCACAAACTTAAAGCATGAACCAGGGGTGGACTGGACCATTCTGGTTCTGGTCTTGAATATTTAATCATCAGTTGGCGTGTGGCATGATGGCTAACTGTATAAATGGCGTGAGATAGGATGAATGGGCAGGGTTTGGTGGCTTCCATGATCCATTTTCGATGGAGGAGCTGGAATATCTTATTGGAAATAATATGTGAATTGTGGGAAACTACAGATAACAGATGTATGTATGTTCAAGTTCGATTGTTTTCCACAGAGTAGTACTGGTGAATTACTGCCACATCTTCTTTGGAAGTCTGAAGAGGAAGTTCATGCGGCTTTCACAATTGAAGAAGGGAAAAGAACCTACACTTAATATGATCTAAATTTGTACACTTGTATGGATGGAATGGTTGGAGGAGACTGTCAAATGACTAAGAGTACCGGTAATTGCTGATGACCATTTCATCTTTTGGTTAAGAACTGGGGATGGAATCCTCTGCAAACAGTCTGAAAACAGAATGAACTAAACCCTTCACTGAATGCTTGAACCACCGATTTCACGAAAGCTTTTTGTTTTTTGTCCACTGTCTCAGATATACGCATAAATGGTCTGCTACCTCTAGATTTGAAGAGAAATTCTGCTGAACGTTTGAAATTCTATCTTCCCCAGAAACCTCTACGAGTGGTCAATGTCTTGGTGGGCCTACTTTGTACCTCATTTATATTGAGAATTCTAGTGAGAGAGGCATTTGAACTTGCCCAAAGTGCATAAATAGTGTAAGATGTCTGAGTAATCCCCCTTCCAATTTCTCTTGATATTCCATGATGGACGATGGCCTCTCCATTAGTCCTCTCCAAGTCATCTTTGCCTTTGGAAGAAACCACATGATGATCTTTCATGGAGCCTTGGGATCTCAGCCAGTAGCAGGTGCTCATAAGTGGTCTGGGAAAGAAGAAATTAGCCCTGGGATCATGCCAGTTGACCTTGGCACAGAAGAAACTAACTGTACCAAGTACCTTTTTTGTTCTAATAGTCTATTAGAATATGAATGTGATAGTGTTCTAGTGAGTCATTTACAGTATAGATCCCCACTAAGCTGGGCCATACAAGGTATTCTCACTCCTCTCTGTATAGAAACAATTGAGGTGGCTACAAAATTTGTAACCCTAATATTTCCCTTGTATTTTCTAGTTAGGGGAAGTGTGTTGGGGTGCCCTATTGGAATATGAACGTGATAGTGTGCCAATTATCTTTCATTCTGAGGTAGGGAGTCATTTAGAGCAAACCCTTGTTATCATAATTAAGATTATTAATGACGTCTTCATGAAATTACTATGATTAGATGTGGGAAGAACCTTCTGTTTCCATGGAGTCAAACCCTTATATGCTTGACGCTTCATTGCAGACGAAAATTACCAACAGCAACCCCACAAGCCTGCCCATTCCATAGGAGAGGAGTTCTTCGGCAGGCAAGCCGCCCAGCTGCCTCTTCTTGAAGTCAACTCCCATTTTTCAGGAGCACAGATGTGACTCTGTTTCCCCTCCTTCCCCCCCCCCCCCTCCCGCCTGTGTGCTCTGCAGGTTCACAAGGAATGCCGGTCTGGTCGCCTCGGGGGTCTCGCGGAACCTTCACAGAGCCGCCAACTATGTCAAGGACAACCTCGACGACATACTGTATCCAGACCGGCGGCGCCCCAAGTAAAGGAAAACCCACCCATCTCTCAGAGCTTTCTGATTATGCCTGCTGCAGTCAGAAGAAGAATAAGAACTTTGCATTGTCCTTGTAGCCAGGCTTCCCTCCTCCTGTTAGTGATGAATAATATATATATTTTGTGTACAAATTATTATAACAATTTCTTGAGATTTCATGGAGAAGGGTGGTCGTTGGTGGAGCAGCTCCACATGTGGGATGCTGGCCGGAGGCGCAGGAAAGGTATCTAGTTTGCTACCATTTCTTGAAGAAGATGATCATTCGAAGAAGAAGAAGCTGATGATGATGATGGGCAATAGAAGAGTAAGATGATGATGATGGACAATATAAGAGTAAAATGATGATGATGATGGACAATATGAGAGTAAAATGATGATGATGATGATGATGATGATGATGATGGACAATAGATGAGTAAGATGATGATGATGATGATGGACAATAGATGAGTAAGATGATGATGATGATAGTGATGGACAATATATGAGTAAGATGATGATGATGATGATGATGATAGTGATGGACAATATATGAGTAAGATGATGATGATGGTGATGATGGGCACTAGAAGAGTAAGATGATGGATGATGATGATGGGCAATAGTGAATGGTAAGAAAAAGTGGCGGCCTCACTTTTCTCTTCATACAAGTAAAATAAAGACTTGTTGAGATGTTGAGATGATCTAATTAGGGCCATAAAAATGGCTCCGGTGATACTGGCTCTCCCGGATCAGCCAGTTCATATGGCAGATTCATCTCTCTCTCTCTCTCTCTCTAAAAAAGGAGGGCTGGGCTGAGCATGATAAGGCGGGCTCGAGTAAAAAGAAGTGTTTTTTATTGTTATTTTGAATGCCGCGAGCAATTCATTAGCCACTGCTTTTGTTAAATAATACTCAGTGGGTTGATGATAAGCCCAGGTAATCGTCACCGATGACTTCAACTCACACTTATAATTTAGCCGCTGCTCTCTGGTTTATCTTTACTTTATTAAAACCTCATTAATTAAATATATACATTCATACACCCATTTCTCCCTTTTTTTTAAAAAAAATCAACAGTCTTAAAAATTCTCCCTTTCTCTAAGAGGTCCCCAGAAAGATAAATATATTCAAAACAACCTTAAATACTAGGAATATATATAATACTTTTTATTTCTAAATTATATGTACGGACGCTGATGCGCTGAGCTGCTGATGCGTCAACGTGCACTCTCTCTCCCTCTCGCTTTCTTTCCCTCTCGGTCGCGACAGGCTCTTCGGAGAGTTGTGGTCGTCGTTCGCAGCGAATCAGGTGCGGCTCCCCGGCGGCGGGAGGCAGCAGCAGGAGGAGGAAATAGAGGAAGAGGGAGAGGAGGGCTCCCACCAGTGGTGGGGATACGTTGGTGCCGGGTAGGGGGGATGGGGGGAAGAACTTGGGCGGCGGCCGGCGTGGGGACCCCTCGCCGGTAGGCCCCTCCGCCCCCGCTTGTGGCGACGGCGCGGCGCGGAGAGATGCCGCTGCAGCCGGCAGTCCACATCCCTCTATATTTCACTGCTTTTGTGTGGGGCCGGCGGAGTAACTAGGGTTAGGTTCCGTCAACGGCCACCAGGAGAGAGGGAGGAAAGGGTGGGGGCGCCGGGGAAGCGTGACTTCTTCTGGTGAGAGAACGTGTGAGGCCCAGAGGAAGGGATCTGACCTCCCCCAGAAGGAACCCCCCGCCATTGATGGGACCCTCCCGTTTCTCTCTCTGCCCTTCCTCTCTTCCTACCCTCTCTCTCTGTCTCTGTGGCATATAAATAGCAGCTGGGGGCGCCCTCTTCATGCTCCATCTCTCTCCTTCCAAAACTGGAAGGAGGGAGAGTGAAAGAGGGAGGTAGAGAGAGAGAGAAGAGGGGACGGCAGCATATGTCTCAGAGGTCGTTGATACCTCACACCTCCATCGCCTTCTCTCTCTAGGCCCATCTCCACGTCTCCAGCGACATGAACCCCAGCTCCAACTGGCGCGGCCTCTAGGGACACAAGATCTCGATCTCAGACCGAAGCTCTAGTTTTCTCTCTCTAGATTCACCACTAGGAAACGACGATGGGGATTAAAGGGTTCGTCGAAGGCGGCGTGGCCTCCATCGTCGCCGGCTGCTCCACCCACCCCCTCGACCTCATCAAGGTCCGTATGCAGCTCTACGGCGAGACCAACCCCGCCACCGCCACCGCCGCCCTCCGCCCGGCGGCGCTCGCCTTCCACCCTGGCGGCGCCGCCACCAGCTACCTTCCTCCTCCGCCACCGCCGCCGCCGCGGCTCGGGCCAGTCGGCGTGGGGATGCAGATCCTCAGGTCGGAGGGCGCCGCCGGGCTCTTCTCCGGCATTTCCGCCACGATGCTCCGGCAGACGCTCTACTCCACCACCCGCATGGGCCTCTACGACGTGCTCAAGACCAAGTGGTCTCCTTCCTCAGGCGGGCCCCTCCCGCTCCCCCGGAAGATTGTCGCCGGCCTCCTCGCCGGCGGCGTCGGCGCCGCCGTGGGCAACCCCGCCGACGTCGCCATGGTCCGCATGCAGGCCGACGGCCGCCTCCCGGCGGCGCAGCGGCGCAATTACAGCAGCGTCGGCGACGCCATCGCCCAGATGGCTCGCCGGGAAGGCGTGGGCAGCCTGTGGCGTGGCTCCTCTCTCACCGTCGGCCGGGCGATGATCGTTACAGCCGCGCAGCTCGCCTCCTACGACCAGGCGAAGGAGGCGATACTGGCGGCGGAAGTGATCCCCGACGGGCTAGGGACGCACGTCGCCGCCAGCTTCGCGGCCGGGCTGGTGGCGGCGCTGGCGTCGAACCCGGTGGACGTGATCAAGACGAGGGTGATGAACATGAAGGTGGAGGCGGGCGCGGCGCCGCCGTACGCCGGCGCGGTAGATTGCGTGGTGAGGACGGTGAGGGCGGAGGGGCCGCTGGCGCTGTACAAGGGCTTCGTCGCCACCGCCTCCCGCCAGGGGCCCTTCACCGTCGTCCTCTTCGTCACCCTCGAGCAGGTCCGCAAGCTCCTCCCCAAAGATTTCTAGTCGACGACGACGACGACGACGATGATGACGAAAAATATTTCAGTTTGTAGTGAATATTATGGGCCTTGGAGAGAGAAACTGAGAAATCTTACAGTTTTTGTATGAAATATTGGCCCTGATTTCTCGAATAATCATATTCTCCCAAGTTCGTCGGATGGATTTTTCCCAGTTTAGAGAGAGAAACTGAGAACTTTATGACGGGTCTGTAAATCAGCCGCCATGGTTCTGGGCAGTGGATAGAGCCCCCCAGATGGACGCCTTCCGCAGCCGCCGTCGCACGTGTGGTCTCTGACCGCCTCACTTGACACTAAGGGTTGACGTCAGTGTCGGCGAATGGCATAGGGGTTGTCCTGGCCAATACCGTCAAAGGAGATGGAAGGTGGATGGGTTTCGGTGGTGGGCCATTCAAATGGCCTGGTGTATCTCGGTCCAATGGAGGTTTTGAACGAGGAGCCTACTACCCCTTTCCTAAACTAACGTTGACCAAGTGACCTCCCTAGGAAGGAACTTGATGGAGATGGCCTTCCTAAACTAACGTCAAAAGAGGGATTCCATACAACTATTTGACCAAACGAGTTTCAAAGAGGCTAGTTGGTTATACGGGCTTCAAGCTAAAGGCTTTTGTAGCGTGAAAAGTCAAGGATAACAAGGGTTGACTGGGCCCACAAAGTTCATTAGGTGAGACGCAGGGGGAAGTTGACTAATGAATTGTTTGTTCACCTGATTCCACTACTTGTCTAAAAATGAGCCCTTGAAGAATTTAAAAATTCTTACTTAATTGTTACTTAATATGAGCCCTTGATGAATTTAATTCCATATCATTCAATACAATAACATTAACTAAAATACATATATATATATATATATATATTTCCTTGTGAGATAGTGATAACTATTTGTGGTATTTTTCACATTATTTTGTGGCCTTAGATATTAGAGAATATTGAAAACTTTTTGATGGAACAATTGCCATTAATGTACCTTTCTTGATGCGTTGACTGCTTGAAAGCTTCAAAAGGCATAAGAAGTTTGTGGAGCAAATAGTGCCAACAGCATTGGGGTTCTTTGATGTTGAATCTGGGCACTGACCATTGATAACCGACACATAATTTTAGAAAACAACCCCAGATTTTTAAGAAATGTATGTCTCACATTAAATGTCTCACCAAGTTCAGAAAAGTCCTTTTTTTATCATACATCTGATAGAAGGTCTTCATCTTGATTTCAATTTAGCATAAAATTTTAATTTTAAATATGCTACAATGGGGATCTTGTTGTATGCCAAAATATTCATTAGAAACTTTTATGCTAAAGTTCCCTAATGTCCAAGCAAGTGATGAAAATAGAATGCCTACTAGTCCTTTGATGGGGCATGAAGAGCGCACACAATGGCCAATCAACACAAATAGGCCTCAATGGACATTAGAAGCCACACATCTTATCCATTTTTAGTTTTTGTTATAAAAATAGCATGGAGTTGTTTTAGATCTTGGAATTATTACATGAAATATAGGAGGGAAAATTAAATTCTCAAAATTCATAATTTTTTTTTGATTTTACACTAGGTAAGTTAAATATTTATACATATTTAATTATTTTGTTTTCTTTCATCTTAGAAGTATTGATCATCAAGAAAAGACAATAAGGCTCTACCCAATTTTCTGATAATTTAGGTTTATGAAAAGTAAATATGTATAGGCTATAGTTTTACCTAAAAAGGTGATCTTTAAACTAGATTCAAATTGTTGAAGGATTACTTTAGGATAGAAGGATAGAAGCTGATTTGTATTTTTTCATAGCCATTCTCATTTTCTTTCATAAAATACATAAAGAAAAATTCTTATTTGGTGATGAGTATAGTTGGATTCAATGTACAAATAGATGTAGATTTTGATTTTGGTTGACCAGATTTGGGAATTTGTAACATGTGTCAAATTGGGTTTAAAAACTACAAAACTTCAAATATAGTCTAACATATGTGGATTTATCTATATATATATATATTGAGAGAGAGAGAGAGAGAGATTTGAATCACTCGATTTTATAGAGTTTAATTCAGTGTATAGATTATAAATTTTAAATGACAAAATAGAGAATGGCATGCTTATTGTGCACATCATACTAGTTGAAATATGGGTTCTAACATAAAATTATGAACGCTTTTATTGACCTTAGATTAAATGTTTTTAATTTGATTACAAAATGTAATTGGTAAAATTTAGAATGTAAAATTCATTCTGCACAATATTTCAATTGTCTACAAGTGCACAATTTTTATCATCCCATGCAAGCTAAGTATTTGGTACACCATATATAATTATTTAGATATTTCATGGCTAATCTAATAATTGCAATCATCATAAATCAAGGTTTGAGAGTTAAATTGTGAAATAGTCTACTATTTAGAATTTAATTTATAATTATTAATATTTATTATTTAATTTAACATAATAAGTGAAAAATGACACTTGATCATTAAAAAAAAAAAAAACTTGAATCTTTTTAAGAAATGTTTACGAGAAGGGTTAGACCCTAAGATTATATTAACTCCAAATGAAGAGATACATGTGTTTATATAGGTGAGAGAAGAGAGAGATAATTGGCCTAAGTGGGCCACGTAGAGGAGGATGTCCAAACACTTAAGTTGAAACATATATGTCAAACATGCCTAAATTGATACATATAACATCATAAGACACTATTGTAAGGTTTTAATGAATATGTCTACTAGTTGGTTGCATGAAGTGACATGTGGTGTACAAATAACCTTTATTAGAACCTTGTCTTGGATGTAATGACAATTAATCTGGATGTACTTACTTTGCTTGTAAAATGTGAGTTTCTTGGTGATGAAAATTATTGCTTGATTGTCACAGTGTATAGATGTTAAAGTTAGGATTTGTGTTTTTTAATTAGTTTTATTATTTGATTTTGTCTTGTTAACTTGTAAAATAAATATAGGATATATTATTAATTTTAGAAGTCTAAAGTTAAAATACTTAACATAAAATTTGATTATTAAAATATAAATATAAAAATATTTCGCCTATTGGCAAGTCATCACTTAGTAGCTGACTTAGAGGGGGGGGCTGTAGTCGAGTGGGTAGACCTAGATTGGGGGAGCCATGAGCTAGGTTCGAGTGGGAAAGGACTCACTTTGTGCACATTTTTGTCACTCCCCCTCCACGTCCCAATGGCCAACTAGTCATGGAGCGTCCGTACACACATGAAGGCGGATCACCTTTTTACCTTCTCCCAAGATGGTCTTGGGCATTATTTTATTTTAGGAGAAGGGATCTTTGATGATAGATCATAGCTTTCATTTATATTCCAGCTTAAAGGATCAAAAACTTTGAATGTGGGACTAATCATTTTCGTTCATTACAATGAATCATTTGGAGTGCAGTGTGATCTAGTGATATTCAGTTAGCCACTTCATTAGATTAGCTAGATTTTGTGGCTGGTGAACTGCCACGATACCAAATGCATAAAGTGATCCATCGGCGGTTTGCAAATCCGTGTCGCTCAGCACACATGTGATTTTAAAGGATGATCCGATTGCTAAGTAGTTGCCATAGTACTAGGGACTTAAGTTCTCAATCGATAGCAGTTCGTGGTGGGTTGATCCTATGTCACTCAGACGTCATGTCACCAGGCACATTTAATCCAATGGGTCACGAAGCATCATGATATTGGGAACTTAAGTTCTTGCACGTATCACCACTAAGGATATAAAGAAAATAATCAGTTGTTATCTGATAAAATAGACATTATTGATTATCTTTAAAATCTTGACGACAGTTGTAAATATGACAACCTGTTCTTCCTTCTTTTTGTGCGATCAACATTTCCAATGATTGACAAGTTTTTTCCTTCCTCCCCCGACTGCACTCAAGGCCTCCGACGAGTGGTTAGCTCTTCCCTTCTCCCTTTAGATGATAGTGATAGTATGGTTTACCTCTCTAGCAAGCGATGTAGTGCTTCCAAACAATACTTTTGTGACTTTCAATGTGGTGTGGCTCGTTTGGACAAAACCAAACCAACCACACTAGTGTTTCCAATTGCCCAAGTAGCAAACTAAACTTGGGTAACAATTTATTTCCTACTTTTAGTATTTACTTATGTGCTTTTGTCATTTATTTATATTTTATGGCAAGTTATTTTTGTTTCATGTATATTTTGATTAAAATGAGTAGAACTAATTCAAATCTTGATGAATGATGTTTTTTCTTCTTCTAAATCCTCTGAAACTCGTCTGAGATTAAGCTAAGATTATTTTCAACTTATTTTCTATTAATTTTCATAGTCAAATCTCAACATATTCATATTCCCTGCATTCTATGAATAATGAGTATTTTTCTGTGTTCGAATGTGAAATCACCAAGATTAAAGATTGATTAATAAGCATTCAACATTTAAAACAAATAGGAGACATTCACGATTAACCTCATGTCATGTGTGTGAATCCTTGAGCACACATTTATCTGAGAATAATAGATTAATCAATCTCCTTGTGTTTGACTTGAGACTTCCTTTTATATTAATATTTTATTAACTCTTAGTTAGAAATATTATTAGATAAAATATATTTAAATACAATAATAAGTGCACATCAATAGGTATAGGTATCTAAAGAGTGATACCTAAGCTCTATAGAAGAGAATGAAGTCATACCATCTCATATGATGTCTCAACTATAGCATGACATTTGGCTTCTACACTAGAATAAGATATCACCTTTTACTTTCCAGAGTACTAAGTGACAAGTTGTCACCAACCTATGTGTAGTAGTTAGTCATCAACTTTTAATCTCTTTTGTCACCAACATATCCAACATTTGAGTAGGCTTCAACTCGTAGGTGATCATGACATCTGTGGATAAGTCCTTTCCTTAGAGCCCATTTGATATAAGCTAGGACACAACACTCCCTCTCAATAGACTTGACAAGGCTGCTATATAAATTGATTGAGAACACTGACTATATGCATGATGTTATGAT